TGAGTTTCAGAATTTCTTTATTGTTTCCCTTTTTCTTCCTTGCAATTGTGTTTTACTTTTCAATTCTATTATGTACGAGTAATTGGTACCAAGACTAAATCCTGCTGACATTTTGGAGGATTTCTCAAAGGCCAATCGAATTATTTACATGTTCTTATTATCATAGTTAATTAAATTTTATTGTCCATTATGATGCATGTTCATATATTCTACCATTGTTTACGTGTTCTTAGTTTATATTCCATGTCCAGCTAAATTAAAGTAATCGGTATGTAATAGGTAGTCAGATGGGATTCGATAATAATCGGTGTATGCTTTCCTTTTCAAACTTATTTCTGGCTTTAGTTTTTTAAATCGATTTTTCTAAATAAATGTTCGTCGCGACAGCGAGAACTTATTTAAAAGCAGTTTTGCCACGACAGTGGGAAATTCATAAAGGTATGAACCAATAAGCGACAGCTGAGGTTAGGACCAGATAGTAAAAACTAAGCATTCGTTTTAAACAGCGACAACACTTTAAAAAGGATTAGAACTTAATGGTTTTCAAAAAGTAACTTTAACCCCAAACGGAACAGCGACAACATACGTTCCGCCTTAGAGTTGCGACTAGCGTCAACAACAATCGTGAGACAAGGGTCTTTAAACCGTCATCTTCTTCTTAAACTATTTTTGAAAACACCCAAAACACCGGTAACTTGTCGAATCCTTGAAGAACCAACATATTGCATACCGATTCACGCATTTATACCTTAAGTAACGTTTTTAGTTCCCCTTTAGTTTACACACTTACTTTGCTTTTATTTCCCTAAAACCATACCAACCTAGTTAAACACAGTAACACCCGAAAATACTAGCTTGATTACGAGTCCCTGTGGGATCGATATCTTATATTACTACGCGATAGACTGTGCACTTGCAGTTAGTTCAGTTGGACATAGAAAGTTGCGATCATCATACTCAGTATGAGATATTGCATTTAACAAGATTGTTCTAGCTTTGTGATGATTTCTGAACTCCTTCTTTTGGGCTTCAGTCATAGATTTTTTATCAATTTTGTTTTCATCCCCATCAGTGGGATGAACATACCCATTAATGACTAAGTCCCATAAATCAGCATCATAACCAAGGAAGAAACTCTCTATTCTGTCATTCCAATAGTCAAATTTCTCCCCATGAAACATAGGGGGTTTTGTGCTGATTCTATCCATTTCTTCATATCTGTTGTTGCTGTTAGATGTTGAAGTTTCATCCATAATAACAACCAAGAATATATATCAAAGTTTTCTCACTGGATCTTTTCTATCACGGTAAAGTGGTAGCACACACAGAACCGGAGCTCTGATGCCAACTGAAGGTGAGAAAATACTTAGAAGGGGGTTGAATAAGTATAGAGAAAATATTTTGGCAATATAAACTCAAAGATTTTTATCCTGGTTCGTTGAACTCAACTAATCCAGTCCACCCTATCAAGAGTGATTTGCCTTTCTCCACAAGGACTTAATCCACTATTAATCAAACTGATTACAATAGCAAGCACTAAGAGCAACTGTTCTTAGTCTTCTCAAGAACTACTGACCACAACTGGGTCTTTTCAAGGAACTTTTACAATCAAATGTAAAACTAAAACAAGTGTTTAAATGCTTCTAAGTAAGCTATATCACAACTGTGATTTACACTTAAGTTTTAAGAACGTATGAAATAAATTCAGCAAAGAGAATAGATTGTATGAGAGCTTTTCTTTGAATTTCTTTCAATTATCGTCAACTGAAGAAGAATGTTGGAGACTTGCTTTTATAGGCTGAAGATCCAAGGCGTTGCATGCTTTGAAGACCATGTCTGCAAAGTAGCTGGAACCTTTTTGTCTTCACATCACTTGACCTTTACTAGAAGTAGAACATTCAGAGAAATCTTTTTTGCCTGAGTTCTTGTGTCTAGCATAAATGAGGAAAGAGTCGTTTGGCCTAACCAACGGACATAACTTTGAATTCTTCTTCAACAAGTTTCTAATACTCAGCAAATAACATCAGAGCCTTGAGTGATCAGAGTCTTTGATGTTCATCAGAGTTTGCTGAATCAAAGTGTTGCAGCAAGTGTGCTTTAGCGTGTGATAATTCAGAGCAGAGTTTGGAATCAGATCCTCAGTACTTGCAGCGTAGTACTATCAGAGTCTTCTGAAAAATTGTGCTTGAAACTCTTCATACATAAGTCTTCAGACTATGCTTCAGATGCTTCTGTAGCTTCTGCTTCAGATCCTTCTGTAGGCAGCGCTTAGAATCTTCTGTAGGCAACGTTCAGATTCTTCTAAAAGATGCTTCTGACGCTCCAGAGCCTTGCATAGTTCCATGTTCAGATCTAATTTGCTTTCAGAAGTATATAAACATTAATATCTGCAGCAAACATACTTGAACAAATTTTAGAGTATATAATTTTTTAATACAAAATTTCATAAGTGTTATCATCAAAACATAGAGATATAACTAAGAACCAATCTGTGTTCTAACAAATATTTGATAAAAATGTGACACAATATCTCAACAAATTTCAATTTGGGGTCGTGTATCTAGGTTCTAAGGCCAGTTTACACAATGCCAATAGGGTGTTGAGCAAGCGATATGAAAATGGTTTTTCGACTATGTTCTCGGTAGATTTCACAAATGGCTATAACATGGTAAACCAGCTGTCCATACTGTGCGGGTGGGAATGAGATGTCCATCTATTTCTTTATGGGTTGAATTTCTTCATGGTCAGGAGGCAATGTGATTGCACCTTTGGGATGAACATATTATGTCAGCCATTGGAGTGCAATAAACTGACCCGTTAGGACCACTCCTTTTTACTATTACCTTATACCTTGTTATTCATAAGATCAAAGAAAAATGCAAGTTCTTCTTCATGCATGTTATCTTGATGATGAGACCATCGTAAGGGATTTAAAAAAGGTGGCTAAAGCCTTTGATATCATTCAAGAGATAGGTCAAATATTGGGCCTTGAATCGAATATTCGTAAGACTTAGATCTTTTAACCTTGGATGGCAGTAAACATCGTGGAAGAGGTTGTTCCCTTTGGATATTGGGAGGTCGGTGTTGGAGATAAAACTGCTTGGAGGGGCCATTAGTTGAGACATATGTTTTATTCATGGGTTGTCCATGAAAAGAGCTGTCAGGGTTGTCGAGTTAATGAACTTTTTTTTCTATAGTTAAGAAATCCGCAAATTGGCTTTTTTTTTTACTTCGATCCTACATGGGTATCACAAAACAATTTTTGGTCTAAAACTGCGTTAACTAATTCATATAGAGGAGACAACTATTTGATTTGATAAAGAGTTGTGAAGGACGGTTGAAGACATTATAGTTGGTGGATGTCTTTTCTTCAAGGACCTTCAATAGATGGTGACCTCTTTACTTATTAAATTTGTGGGGTTGAGTTTGTACTCGGCAGTATAGACTTTCTCATGTGCTTTTGTAACTTTCAGAAATAAATCTTTAGTGTTAGAAGATCATATTTTGAGACAGTTAAATATATGGTACATACTCTATTTTTAATAAAGTTTTGGATAGTTTTAGTGGTATGACTCTAGATTTTATGATCTGTATGTCTTCCAATATGTAAAACTTATTACTTCAATATTTACCCTTTGCTTTAAAAAGAAAAATATCCATGTAAAATGAGGTATATATATATATATATATATATATATATATATATATATATATATATATATATATATATATATATATATATATATATATATATATATATATATATATATATATATATATATATATATATATATATATATATATATATATATATATATATATATATATATATATATATATATATATATATATATATATATATATATATATATATATATATATATATATATATATATATATATATATATATATATATATATATATATATATATATATGTGTGCGCGCGTATATATATATATATATATATATATATATATATATATATATATATATATATATATATATATATATATATATATATATATATATATATATATATATATATATATATATATATATATATATATATATATATATATATATATATATATATATATACACACACACACACACACACACACACACACACACACACACACATATATATATATATATATATATATATATATATATATATATATATATATATAGAACACACACACACACACACACACATATATATATATATATATATATATATATATATATATATATATATATATATATATATATATATATATATATATATATATATATATATATATATATATATATATATATATATATATATATATATATATATATATATATATATATATATATATATATATATATATATATATATATATATATATATATATATATATATATATATATATATATATGGGGTCTTCATCTTCTAAAAGAAATGGTCATCCATTGCTATATGGTAAATAAAAAATACAAAGGCGTCTTTTCATGAAAATAAAAAGTAAAATCACATTTCTAAAATTAGTGATGCTAATTGAGTTTTGTAAACGTCTAATAAAAGCTTGCAACATTTAAAAAATAGACAAGATCTATGTTGATAGAGAAACATGAATTAGTGTGGCAAGAGGAGAGACCCTGCTCACTAATTCCACCTTAAAATTAGCTTAATCTAAAAACACAAACCATCAAAATTCTATACATTATGCGGCTTCTGCTGATCCGTATTTAGAGAAAATACAAAATTAATGTAGCTTTTGGCTCTAAACCTCACATTTACCATAACAACTTCTAAATATAATTAATCTTCCTTCAACAATAATTATGCTTTGGACGCTAATCAGAAATTCACACTCCTTCAAGTTTTGACAAAGGGTTGTTATTGCCTCATGAACAAAACCATTTCCCCCTATAGGTGAAGACGCGGAGTTAGCTATAAATTTATATAATAGAGATTATACACAAACAAGAAGTTTCAGCGCTATAAATCAAGATGAGTGAGGAAGATAATAAATCAAAGAAGAGAATCGTCATAATATGCACCTCAGGCTTTTTACTAGTCGCTATGGTGGTTGCTGTGACCGTTGGCATGAATAATGGCGGTGAAGATAATAACGATAAAAATCGTATTGTTTCAACCCAGAAAGCCGTGAAAACCTTTTGTAGTCCGACAAGTTTTAAAAAAGAATGCGAGGAAAGTCTATTGTCAGAAGTAGGCAACACAACGGACTCAAGAGAACTCATGAAATTCGCTTTCAATATCACCGTTGCGAAGATAAAAAAAGGACTCGAGGAAACAAATATCTTGCAACAGCTTGAGAAGGAACCTAGGGCAAACATGGCACTTGGCACATGCAAGAAGTTAATGAATCTTTCTATCGGCGAATTCCATAGGTCACTTGAGGGAATATCAAGTTTTAATATGAACAATCTAGATAGCATTCTTGTGAGTTTAAGAGTTTGGTTAAGTGGTGCAATGACATATCAAGAAACATGTTTAGATGGTTTCGCAAACGTCACTGGTGACGCTGGTACGAAGATGAAAGACATTTTAACATTTTCGAGGCGTATGAGTAGTAACGCACTTGATGTCGTTACGGATTTGCAAAACGCTGTGAGGGATATGAATGCAACAGGAGATCACCGTCGTCTTATGGATGATTATAAAGGTTCTTATGTTGGCGAACAAGTTGTAGCTCATGATGATGTGAATGAGGTTCCTTCTTGGGTTGGTGATGGTTCCAGTGCTGGTGTTCGTAGACTCCTTCAAGTGGCTCAAAATAAACTCAAGGCTAATGTCGTTGTGGCTCAAGATGGTACTGGACAGTTTAGGACTATCAACGAAGCTTTGAAGCTTGTGCCAGTAAATGGCCAAAAACCTTTTGTTATTTATATCAAGAAAGGTATTTATCATGAGTATGTTGACATTACCATACTAATGACTAATGTTGTGATGGTTGGTGATGGTGATAAGAAAACAATAATTACTGGCAACAAAAACATGAAAGATGGAATTCCAACTTATGCAACCCCCACTCTCGGTACGTAAATCTTTTATTGTTGAAAAAATGTTAGTTCAATTCCGCTGAACTGATAGTAACTGTGTCAATTTCTCTAATATTACGGGAAAAACTAATAATATATTGATGGTTATTGCAGCCGTTGGAGCAGATTTTTTTGTTGCAATGAGCATAGGTATTGAGAATTCAGCAGGACCCCTAAAGGATCAAGCTTGCGCCTTAAGAGTCCAAGGCGACAAGGCAATTTTTTACCAATGTACAGTAGACGGATATCAAGACACATTATATGCACACACTATGCGTCAATTTTATCGTGATTGTATAATTTCAGGCACGATTGATTTTGTGTTTGGCAACGCTCAAGCAGTTTTCCAGAACTGCACATTCGTAGTTAGAAAACCATTAGATTACCAACAATGCATTATAGTTGCACAAGCGAGAGCAGAGGAAAACCAACCATCAGGAATAATAATTCAAAATAGCCGCATTGTTTCTGATCCTCCGGGTGCTCCAGCGACCTACAAAGCTTATATCGGCCGTCCGTGGAAGCACTACGCGAGGACTATTGTCATGGATACTTTCATCGAAGGGGTGATTCAGCCTGAGGGGTTTATGCCATGGGAAGAACCGGATAAAACACTTACTGGCATGGACACTTGTTTTTATGCTGAGGTTAATAATACCGGTCCTGGTTCTGATAAATCAAAGCGCGTAACATGGCCTGGGATTAAGAATCTTACACCAGATTCTGCACATGTTTTCTATCCAGCTTTGTTCTTTCAGGGAGATGATTGGATTAGGAGTACTAGAATTCCTTACACTTCTGGCGAATCACCACTCCCAACCCCATTGCCAACTCCAAAGCTCTAAGTTAATGTTTTTCAGAGGTGCAAATGCCAATATTTGTACATATAGTTTTCATATTTACTAGATTACATACATAGTATGAAATTGCTACATTTCATGTTATAGATGATTATGGGCAATTATCTTCATACTGAATACATAAATTCAATGATAATTTCAAAGCCTGCCTCATCATGTTACAAGCACACTTTTGTAGTGTATTTAACATAGTTGAGTAATGTAGGGAGATAATTGAGAAATTATCAATTCATAATTGATGTAAATTTTGACATTTTATTTTCAAGTGGCTTCATAATATAATATTTTATATATTTTTTAAGCTTAATTATATATTTGGGAATACTTTAGTTTTAATCTTTGTAATTAATTAAACATGTCTATTTGTGTTTTACCTCAGCCAAAAGTGTGAGCATTAACGTAAAATTTGTGATTTTTAAAATTAAAAGATGCAATGTCTTCAGTTTTGTTCTGCCCTTATCTTTTATGAGACATACACTCTCAACTATGTCCGTAATATTTTTGTGGACTTTTGTCAGACGAACATACTCTTCTACTTCTGGCGACCTTGCTTTGCTCTGTCGGGCTATGTGCGTTACAGCAGGAAGAAGGGATGTGGATATTGAAATTTGATCATCTATTTTACAATGTATTAACTTCTTCTTCAAAATTATGTTGTTCTTATTTTACTCAACAATGGATTACATCAAAATTATTTTAACCGTTGAATGTTGGAACTTTAATGAAGTATTTTTACTGTCCACAATACTATTGAATTTTGAAACTTTAACTAAGTATTTTAACGGTCTACGAGACTATTGAATGTTGAAACTTCAATAAAATATTTTTTCAGTTCAATGACTGTAAATGCCAAATTTCATAAGGAAACTCTAATCACCCTCGAAAGTTGTTGAACAATTAACCATAAACAAAGACCTTTTATTAAACTCCTTTAAGAAGGATATGATCGCCCTAAAGATTCTCTTGAGAAATGCACTCAAAGAAAATAAACAAGCGGATAAAAATAATAAGCAAATCGCCAAAAGGAGAAAAAATTGTATTACAAAAGTCTTAAAGGGCAAGAGTGATTACATAAAAAATCCCTAGTGGTGTTATTACTTGAAAGCCACTAAGGACGTGATGAAAAGTTCCTTTTAGCCATTATTGAAGATCGTGAATTGAACATATAAAGTTTGTTGGACTATTCTCCACTTCATATTAGAGATCCAAAACTATTCTCCTTTTAAGTTGTTTTTATCCCATCATTGAAACTTTGTTGGACTCAAAACTTTGGTACTATATCGATTTTAATTGTTTCTTTCTATATTTATAGTTTTTATAGCATTTATTAGAAAGTTACTAGTATTTTCACACGGATAAATTTATTTGATATTCTGTATTACGTAATAACCAATCCTTACATAAATCAAATTGTATTAGAATAATCATTGAATTGATCCAAAAACTACAAATATATTTATTATTTTCCATATGTTTATTTCTTTTGTTATCGAAATTCTCTATCATTAACTTCATGTATTCTTGTATGTTGCTTCAAATGCCGTCGTGATTTCGAAGTTGTCAATTTGTGCATTTAGCCTTGCATTTATGAATTTTGAAGTACAACACCAATATATCACATCATCTTCAGCCTATTGTGACCACTGAAGCACAACACACACACAAACAAACAATCCAAAGCCATGACTTAGTCTAGTGCCCAAAGAAATTTAATACAAATATACTCATTCAAATATCTCACAAAAATTCAAGTTAGATTGGAGATAAAAATAATCTAATAGTTATTTATTTATCCATATAATAATATTTTAAAATTCCAAAGATTATAATTGGCTTGGGCCTCCTAACAATCCCAAGAGTTTTGAAATAGTTAACCAAGAAAGGGAAGCATGATCAAGACAAAATCACACAAATACCCTAACGGATAGTAATCATATTTATAATATCTCAACTTAGTTCCACTTAAATGACATAATTATTAGAAATAGTAAGTGATCAAGCATAATTCAACTTTAAAGACAGAAAAAGATATTTAGTTAGAGGAATAATTGTCTAAAAGAGAAAACAAACAAAGTTAGAAACAATGCAAATGTATTTTGAAAGAAAGGAAAAAAAATAATAATAATGCAGAGCATCCCCAAAAATTTCTTACTATAGTCCACAAAGCCACTTTGGAAGCAACATTGGGATTTAGTGATTTGACCAAGAATAAGTAATAAAAGTATGAGTTTAAGAATCATCGGTAGAATTACAAATGTAGTATGGAACATAATTATAAACATCGTCTTCTCTCCATGAATCCAACTTCACGATGATCCATATGTCATCTATGAGTCCGATGTTGCCATGACTCCAAAAGTAAAGGATGGAGATGATTCATATGTCAAGGAGATGTTTCTACAAAAAGAATACAAAATCTGTAAGTTTGTCTTTTTATCTTCCTTTTAACAAATCTTTTAGTACAAACAATTTTAGATATTAAAACTCAACAACAAAAGAAAAAAATTAAGTAAAACCAATTAAATCAAATGAATTATTCTATAACAGTATAAAAGTCGTGTTTAAGGGTAACCTTGAAAATCAACTAATCACATTCCCAATTGTAGCTCCCTGAAAAATACCACAATCACAGATCAACAAATCACACAAAAATCCTGATCATCATTCAAATACAATTAACAAAAGCAGAAAACTTTTTTAGATAACAAATTATCTTAAGTTAAATCATTGTTCAAGCAACACCGTTACATGAGAAACTTACAACTCCTTGTTTAGTTTCCATGACAACAAAAGAAAAATATTTTTCCTTGTTCACTAGTTGGATCTTGTTCCTCATCTTCATTGTCATATCCACATTAATAATATATCTAACATGGATCTGAAAGATAAACATAGAAAATATACATAAGTTATAATTGGATTTCATAGAAATGAGACTGTTGTTAAGAAGGTAGCCCATAAGGTGCCACATATTAATTAGACCGTTGTTAGAAAGGTGGCTCATAAGGTGCGTGAGCCGATTATACATATTGTTAAATATCTCTGCTTTAGTTAATTGTGTCCATGTTATTTCTTCTGTAGTCAGATCTCTAAAGATCTTGAGGGTTAACATGCAAACCGCTTATGCACACTTTTCTATGGAATCCAATTGTAGCTAGTTAGCTACCCGTTGGATCCATTTCAATATAAAATTATGCCCAGTGTTATATAGCATCGATACCAATTTAAGGTTATTCATACTCAACGTTTAATATAAAAAATTATGCCTAGTGTTATATAGCATAACCTCAAAGATAATTGATCTTATCGGATCAGATAGGGGATCAGCAGCAAGCAACACGTTGTGATTTCCAATTCACAGGTGGTGGAGAAGATGAGGGGGGTGTACCTGCAAGACAATCTGATGGCAAAGTGAGAGAATGAACAAGTATAGAAAAAGAAAGTGCGTTTAGAACACATGAACCTCCTCTAGAGGAGGGTATTTATAATGTTCCCCCAGCACTAGACTAACGGTTATTTGTATTGGGTTGGATATTTAGGCCTAATACAGATAACTGCTAGGAACTACGTGGAATAGGGAAGACCGACACGTGATCTTGGTCCTTGGTCAACTGCCCCGTGGACTTGAGGGCGAAACTATCGTCCGAAAGTCGTGGGTAGTTGGATGATGACGTGTCCCCACGTTGGGGGGCACATGGAGAGCGTAGGGAAAATGCGTGAGGAGCGTTCCCCACGAGGGATGATTGATTGGGCCTTTGTTGGGCCCTCCCCGACAAAGAGCTAGGTTGGGTCGTGCTCGACAGTGGGTCAGCCTCTGGCCCAGTCCAGAACAGGAGCCCCTCAAGTTGTTCCTCCTAAGCGTAAGAGTAATGACTTAAGAGTCTATTTTTATGTCGAAGAGGGACACAGGGAACTTTCCTGGAGGAGCATCACTCGTGCTCGAGATGACGAATTTACAGGGCTATGTGCGCGACTAAACTCAGAAGTTACGAGACGTGTTTGACAACTGGGTTTACCTGTGAGCGACAACAAGGTCCAATCTGTAATTTATCCCGCGGATAGGTGCTCGCGTGGATTGTTTCCCATCACACGTGTTCATAGCTTGTTTCCAAGTCTTCTTGAGGAAGCGTTCGCGACAGCGTGAGAGTCGAGCATCGCACTCGACGTATTAGAAGATACGGTAGAAGTGAAAGGAGCGGACACGTCATTTCCTCAAGCCGTGCCTCACGGGGGGGGGGGGGGGGGGGGGGGGCTTGATGGGACGCGTGATATCATCTTGAGCCATGTGTCAGAAGCAATAAATGCCTATGACGACTACAAGTAAGGGTGCTTGAGTGCCTAGGAAACGCTTCGCTTCCCGCACTAAAGGATATAAATAGGGGGAGACTGATTTATTTGCACGCTCACAGCATTCAAGCACATAAGAATTCCTCAAGTCTCTTAGGGTTTCTTTACTCTCCTATTGTCTGTACGCCGCCGTTATCGCCGTCAACCCTTTCTTCCACCGTCGGAATGTCCAGAGTCTTTTTCATACAAGTAAGTTTTCTGTCTTTTATTGGCTAGCATGGTATTTATGTGCTTTCTGGTGTCGTTGTAAACTTTGCGGTGAACTTCTTGAAGTTTCCGGGAAACTCATGAAGTTTCTGGTGAATTTTATGGGAAACTCGTGAATATTCTAGGGAACTCATGAAGTTTCTAATAGAGATTATGGGGACTTCATAAAGATTCTGGGGAGCCCTTGAAGTTTCCGATGAAGATCTCGGGGAGCTCATGAGGCTTGCACATCCCCGCGAGGTTCAACATCGGGGAAAACTGTTACTTCGTTAGGGACACTGTGAGAAAGTCTCTCGTCGAGGAGACCTCCTCCGTTTAGTTCTGATGAGGAACCTAAATGTCAAAGAATATTCCCTTAACAGAAAGGGGGTCGCGTGTCTCGTGTCGAGGAGGGCTCCCACGTGTTCATCGACAAGGGCTTTGTTCGAGGA